GGGTCGGGGCCGGTGGTCGGGGCCGAGCTGTCGGGGGTGGGGATCAGGGTTTGCGGGGTGTCGGGCCCGCTGGCGGGTTGCGGGCTGCGGGGGCGGGTTGCGGGCTGCGGGTTGTCGGGCCCGATGGCGGGTTGCGGGCTGCAGGGGCGGGTTGCGGGGTGTGGGGTGCGGTGCCTGGTTTACGGGCTGCGGGGTGTGTGGCTGCGGGTGCCGRGCCCTGCCGGCACTGCCRGGGTGCGTKGCCCAGCGGGGGTGGGGGGCCCTGGGGGCACTGGGCAGTGGGCGCCCTGGGGGAATGGTGGACGCCGGACGCACCACCCAGCCAGGCAGGTCACGAGTCACGACTCACAAGGCGGGATGTGTTGGCGAGGTCAAACGGCGGGATCATGCGGGGGAGGGACCGGGGTGTCGGGTGCGGTGCGTGGGTGACGGGGCGGGGTGCGTGGCACTGCCTGCCACCTTGTGGGCGAGGCGCCGAGGTCAGTCGGCCTGACTCAGGTGACGGGGCGTGATTGCCGGTGTCGGTGGGCGGGGGGGGGGGCTGGCCCCCGCGCGTGGTGGGGGGCCCTGGGGGCCTTGGGGGCACTGGGCAGTGGGCGCCCTGCGGGAATGGTGGACGGACCCGCCAGCTTCAGGCAGGTCTGGCTAGTAGCTACCAGTAGCCCTTGTCCTAGCTGGGCAGGTGTGGCCAGGCGATGGGAGGGTGGCCCTCGGCAGTGTGCTCAGTGGGCTGGGCCGGGGGCAATTATGGTGACATTGTGTAAACAAAAAAAAGGGGTAGTGAGTCTAGTGACGTAGTGTGTGGGCTGGGTGGGGTACCATGTGGGCGTGGGTGCGGTACTATGTGTAGGGTGGCCCGGTGGCTGGGGTACTATGTTGGCAACTTGGCAGGGTGTGGCATTTATGCGGGCACGCCGGCACCGGCTCGAGGGTGGTACCGCGGGACTATGTGGGCTGGGTGGTGTGCTATGTGGGCTGAAGGTTTGTCAATGATACTAAAAAAAAAAAAATTGCACCATTTGGTCCATTTCCAATTCTGCATAGATATTRAAAAAAAAAAAAAAAAAAACATTGCACCATCTGAATTGATATACAACCTCAGACAATACTCTCAAGACTCCCAAGAGTTCGAACAAGAGGCAACAACCAATCACAATAAGATACCTGCGACTCTGCGAGGCTGCGAGGCTACGAGGCTACGAGGATGCGAGGATGCGAGTCTGCGAGGGTAACAAAATAAAAGTACAACAAGTTGAAGTGAAGCAATTTTCTGAATGGTCTCTGCCTGCCCGGCTATAGGCTCTCATGCTACGGGCCTAGGCCATATGACCTCCCATCCTAGTGATAGCCCAGGCCTGCTTCTCGAACAACGCAGCCAGCGCAAGTATCTGATAAATCTCTCTCTCCCTCTCTCTCTCTCTCTCTCTCTCTCCCTCCCTCTCTCCATGTCTCTGAGTCTCCATCTCTTCGCGGCCAAGCGATAACCCGTGCGTTTGTTAAAGAGTGGCCTCCATTTTGCGCAGCAACCGCTGCGCCTGAGCTCGCCGATCTATGGGGGCAGGAATCATCGCCGATGGTGTTCCCTGTGCTCGCTGCCCTTGCGGCCCGAGTCGTGTCCTCGGTCTCACTCGTCGCCCTCCTCCATCATCTCCATCTGCCGCCCGTGGTTTGGGTACGTAATCGGAGTCCCCTGCATCATCAGCGCCTGTGGTCTCTCCCCGGGCGACATCTGTGTTGTCGTCGTGGACAATAAGTACACTGCCGCGTCTCTTCTGACCTGCCACTGCATTCCCTGTGCCCTCCCTGCCGACGATATCCGTCGTCGTTGCATCCCTCCCTCCAACATCCAATGCGTCGCCGTCAGGTGCAATCTCTCCGTCMTCGAGATGCACAACGCCCGATCCTCTCTCTCGGGAACGCATATGTGAGGATGAACGTGACGCCTTCCTTGCCGAGGCCTTCTTCCTTACCCGAGAAAGACTCGCCTTTGAGGCTCTCGTAGCATGGACATCAGACGTCTTCGTCGGCAAAGCACTCCCGTGTCGGTCCTCAAACTCGGCCATGGCGGTGTGCCGAGCACCATCCACACTCCCAATGGATYGTTTCCCMATAGACGGTGCAGATGGCCTRCCAACATTCCRGACTCCCTGCTCATCCATCCCCCCAGTACTCTTCCCGCTRGCATARAATGCCACTGTCGGCAAAAYAGTRGYTYTGTCGCGYCGTGCTGTCGCCGATGACCCAACCACAAGCTGTTCTGTCGCGTYYGCGCYACTGTTTGTGACGRGGACGCCCGCATCTGCGCCGACAGCCGCGGCAATCGGATGATGCTCTAAGTTTGACGGCGGACTTGGGGGTCTTGCTTCTCTTTCGAGTGTGTTAACTGGCCCACCCGGAGACACTTCCTTTGCGCCGTCAAACGAATGAGAAAGACTGCGTTGCGCGATGCTGCGCTGACCGTCGCGGCGGTGTCGCGTGGCGGTCTCCGCCAAACCAAGGGCCACCTCGCGTAGTTTGCCAACACGAAAAATTGTGGGCGTGGCAGACACCATTGGGCTCGTAATCATATCGGCGATATCGCCTCCTGCCACGTCAAACCCGTCCGATCCACGCTCTATAACAACATGCTGTTGTGGCTTGGGCGGTGACACATGGGGTAGACCTGAGGATATCAACGTCGACAAGTCCGGTAGAGAAACAAGCGCAGAGTCCATGGTCACTAACTCGCCTGTACCCGGAAGACTGCCGGTGGGGCATGCGAGGCCGACATGGTCTACGGCGCTCTGCTCGGCTGCGGGAGTGTGTGAGATATCACGTTCTGGGAGATCGTCGTCTTGACACACAACAACGGTCCCCTGACTCCCCTCCATCAATGCAGGCGGTGGCCGCGGTTGAACACTGCGAGGTGGGAGCATACTTTTTTGCTCCGCCGCTGCCAGTGGTTGTCYCACATCCGAGGTCGCTGCAACTGAGACTGCCACTCCGGCAGACGTGAGTGGATGCAGTGCACCGACAGAACCCTCGTCCCGCACTGCCGGGAGAGGACTGATCTCTCCATGAACCTTGGGATGACGCATCAACGGTGCTGGACCCTGTTGCGATTCTGGGACTGCTGCGGAAGGCCCCATCGGAGCTGTCGCGTGCATACTCGAAGTGTCACCTCGTGGATGACCGCTCCCGCCATGCAGCTCGATCCGCTCCTCGCCGCCGTGATCGCTGAAAGAGTCCTCAGAAACTGGAATCTGCCTAGTTGCGGGGACTCATGATAGTGGAATGCTAGCAACCCCACCATGACGTTTGCGCACACGTGAAGCGATAGTGTCTTTTTCCCTTGGTCCGCGTTTCAAGCGCCTCAGGTCACCGCCCGAGACAGGTCGTGAACCATCCTCATGCACTCCATCTCGAGCGTCATCTACTGCTGTGCGGTGCTCGCCCCCTGCCCCGTCGGCGCGCATCGTGTCACCATGTGCAGGGCGTGGCCTATCTCCTCCGTCACCGTGATCATCGCCACTGGCGCCATCGTCGTCGCCCATGTTCGGGTGATGGTCATCGAAATTGCTGTCGCCATCCTGTGCAGGCCTGCCAGTCCCGAAGAAATCCTCGTCATCGCTGGACGAGCTCTCGTACAAAAAGTCTCCCTCATCCCATCGCTGTCGAGGCTTGCGTACTAGCTCGTCCACTGCCCTTCCACGACTCGCGACACTACGCCTCCCGCCAGGACCTCCACGTCCGCCTCGCCCGCGGCCGCCCTGACGACCACCTCCGCGACCGCCGCTGTGAGGAAACCCGGGGAGGGGCTACCTACCGTACGCTGAAGCCATGGGCTACGGCGCCTGTCACTTCGCCGCGCCCGCTTCCGAGGTCCTCAGCGACCAGTAGGGTGTAGGGGGCCAATCGAGTTCAAGATCCGTCGAGCCCCGTCGTCACACAGCGCTCTCCAACAATTAGAGAGAGTATGATAGATTACTAAATATTTAAATAAGATTAAAGAATTAAGTAAGAATATTAAATAAATAAAAGAGTAGCAGAGTTAAAACTGGCACTCTCTCTCCCTCTCTCTGTCTCTGTCAGTCTCAGTCCCTGTCCCTTTCTCTCTGCATGAGTCTGCTCTCTCTCTCTCTCTCTCTCTCTCTCACTCTGTCAATCTCTGTCCCTGTCCCCCCTTCTCTCTTTGTGAGTCTGTTCTCTCACTCTCTCTCTCTGACTCCCTTCCTCTGTGTGTGTGTGATCCGATTTCGACTGTCACCGCCGCTCGTCCTCTACCAGCAGCGTTCTGTGTGTATCTGATTGCACGCAGCGGTTAGGTGCATCTGTGATGGACTAGTTGCGGTGGCACTAGGGAGGGGACCGTCAACTTGAGTGCACTTCTCTCATGATCGTGAGCTAGCACATGGTTGGCGCTCGTCCCAGCCAGTTAAAGAATTTGGAAAGATGCGTCAGGAAACTCCGAGGTAGGTGCGTGTTTCTCCGAGTAGTAGAAAACTTCACCAGGATCAAGGTAAGACGCACCACTCTGATCTTGGCCTTTTGAGCAGTGTGGAGTTCCCAGTCCAGTCTCTTAAAGAGGGTTTGCGCTATCTTTWACCGCCCTGAGTAAATCTTTCACCGCCCTGAGTGARTCTTTCACCGCCCTGAGTGAATCTTTTACCCTCTGCTTCGTGGGTAGTCGAATCASTGTGTCTGATCCGATTCTACACACCCTACTTTTTTTTTACAGTAACTGCTCTCTCTTACCAGTCTTACCCTTCTCGGCTCTCTCCACTCTCTCTTCTCCCCTCCCCCTTTTTCGGTCTCATTTCGTTCTCGCTCGTTTACAATCTCCCATTTACCCTCTCATCCACTCTCGTGTAGTCTCTTGTTCGCTCGRAGCCGGAGAGGTATCATCTGGAAACGAAGGGGCACATTCCTCACACACTCCACTCATCCTTTAGTGTGGGCACGAGAGCTCGTCCTTCAATTCAGATTGTATTCTTGCCTCAACCGAAATTGACATGCTATAACAAATGGACACAAGCACCAGTCACCCAGCCGTTACATCGATCACTCTCCTGGCCAGTCCCGCAAGCTCCGGATCCCTAGACTAAGTCTCGTGTTTACTCCGTGGATCGCGGTCATACGGTGATGGTTTCCCCGACTTGATCCGGGCCGTGTCCGTTTCACTAGAGAAGAATAACGGCGTCAAACCAGTTGTCAGCGCTGGCTGATCACTTGCTAATTAATAACGAAGAGGGAGATGCGAGCTCAGATTGAATTATCCGGGCTCAGCTTGCACCGAGCTCGCGGTTCCTATTGCCAATGACTATACTCTCGCCACGCTATTCGACTGCCCGCCGTTGCCCGACCTTTTCAGTGTCCAGAAGCGTGAGGAAGCCATAGTTCGCGCCCGCGAGCTCGTGAGCTCCAACTTTGGCAAAAAGATTCACTGCGTACGCCTGGCACGACTCTCCCTTCGTAATCATCCTTGGCTCCACTTGCTACCATTAAGCCTTGTGCAAGTAACTGTCGTTCCAGGGGGACCTGTTACTCCGTGTGTGCATCCCTTTGTCCTTCAACTGCTTCCCCGTATGAGCGTTCAGTCATCCCGCAAGTACGAGCGAGGGTGATCTCCTGAGCSAAGGGAAAGGGCGTAGTGTACGCCGTGCGCACCGTATCTTCCCCCCTACTTCCCAGAGATTATTCCTTACCTTGTTCTCAACCGAGCTGTGTTGTGGGCGGCGTACGCCAGGCTCGCGAGGGAAAAAAAATCCCCTTCTCTCAATGACTCTCCCCACTTATCTCCTCCCGAAGTAGTCCCCAAGGGTCGCTCGGGTCGCTTGGCAGGGCCCTAAATAGGGTTGGGGCCACCTGTATCAGTCTTTGCAGGACCTCCGATCCGATTCCCCCCCCCCCGTATTCCAAGTTAGGGACTCAGCAGATTAAGATCGGAGCTACTAGTACCAAGCGCACTGTTGCAGACCCCTCGACCTCAACGAGGATCGATGTCGATAGGTCCGGTACAACCAGGACCAGGAGCAGTACCCGATATACGTGTCCTGAACTGTGACGACCTGTACCATTAAGAACCCAACAGTAGTGCCACTAGTGGAAGGCYAGTGGTCGTGCCGCTGCAATAATTTTGAAACTTCGACGAGTGCCATCAAACTGGAGTAGTATTGGCCTCAACCCAAATCCGGCACCGTATCAAATTTATAAGATCCGATTGGAGCTCMGTGACARTTCCGAATCTGAAAATTAAGAGCAAACTGCAGTGTACTGYCTSAGTGCCATATCTGTGTCGAACCTAGTATTTCCAAGGATAGTTGTTTCAAGCTTCGGAGAATTGTAGTCGTGCCGAACCAGCAACTATACCAGACCAATACCACCAGTACCAGACGAACGACCATGCCAAAGTAACAAGGTCAGACTGCGATACGYCGTTCCAGTATCGTATAAGTGTCCCACCAGTAACCATACTAAGACCGAAYCGCAGACCAGATCTCGTGTCGACACCACAAGCACCATGCCTGTACCATATCAGTCTCCATATCATGGCAGCATTCCGTTCGGAAGTCGAGCCGGTGACTGCACCATATTGGCCTGACCGCCGTAACCAGAAAACCGGTCCCGTTTCAAACCAGCGTACCGAGCCAGTTGGTCTCAAATAAATAATAGTACCGAGCCTGTTCCCAACCAGTGTTCCGAGCCTGATATACCGTGCCGCAACTTTTCCGGACCTGAAAACAATCTGTCGCCGAGGTCCCAAAACTGGAACATCTGTCAGAATAAATCAGCGCAGCTGTCCGGAGTCTGAAAATACGTCACCGTAGTGACACAGGTATCAACCGCACCCGAAGCACGTCAGGCACGCGCCTGTCCATGTGTCCCTCGCACTCAGAACGTCTTAACAGTGGTCAGTGTTAGTGATCAAGCAAACCAGGGAAAGCAACTCAGGAAATCTCAGCCGTCAGGGGTAGTAAAAAAAAATGACAAAACCCAGGGAAAATATCCAATCCGGGGTTAGAACTAACGTCGGGGTAATCGAGGCGAAATT